CTGCATATGCACCCACGTTTTGCAACTGGGGAATGTTACTGTTTTAGTTATGAATATTGCTGAAGTCTGAGTTCTATCTTCCAGCTACTTACAACTTATTTACCTAGTATTGTTCAATGCTCCACAGCAAATCAAAGCAACAGGTGGAGAACTGTCTGTTTCTATTCTTCTAGTCTTTGAACCTTTGTGGTATGGATTATGTTAGATATTTATAAAATGTCACAGCATTCTGTAGGAGGCATTGCCCCCCCCCCCCACCCTTCAGGCTTTGCCCCCCATAATGCAGGAGAAGCGGCTTGAACGAGACAGTCTTGTACAATCAAAACAGCATGCTTTGTGGAAAATAAAAACATGATTAGATGACCGCTGTGTGTCTATTTTGCTTCTTTAAGAGCTACCAACATTTCACTGTGGGGAAGAGTAGTGGATGTGACGTGGTTTAGGTCAAATATAGTTCACATTCCACTGTTAGGTCAGTGTTGCTTTTTTAATATGTCTGTATCCTGTTTGTGGTTTTGTTTTCTTTTTTAAAAAATGTATTATGTTGGTCCAATTCCCCTTCTCCATTCCTCCCTCCAAGCATACTGTTACACTTCTTGTTCTTTCTCATAAAAAGTTCATTTCATAAAGGCTTACTCATGCAGTCTTCTTTGGAAGTCATTTCATTAATTTCTTGAAGAACATGCATTTGTTGTTCAGTCGCATACATGCATGCAAACTTCTCCCACTCCCGAGAAGTTTTGACACTGTCTAACCATCTCATCCTTTGCCGTCCCCGTCTTCTTTGACCTTCAATCTTTCCCAGCATCAGGGTCTTCTCCAGTGAGTGCTCCCTTCTCATTTGGTGGCCAAAGTATTTGAGCTTCAGTTTCATTATCTGGCCTTCCAGGGAACAGTCAGGGTTGATTTCTTTGAGGATTGACTGATTTGTTCTTCTTGCAGTCCAAGGGACTCTCAAGAGTCTTCTCCAGCACCATAGTTCAAAAGAATCTATTCTTCGGCGCTCGGCCTTCCTTATAGTCCAGCTCTCGCAGCCATACATGACTACTGGGAATACCATTGCTTTGACCATGCGGACTTTTGTTGGCAGGGTGATGTCTCTACTTTTTATCATGCTGTTTAGGTTCGCCATCGCTTTCCTCCCAAGGAGCAGGCGTCTTTTAATTTCATGGCTGCAGTCACAGTCTGCGGTGATCTGGGATCCCAGGAACGTGAAGTCTGTCACTACTTCCACGACTTCCCCTTCTATTTGCCAAGGAGTGATGGGGCCGGATGCCATGATCTTAGTTTTTTTGATGTTGAGCTTCAAGCCCACTTTTGCGCTCTCCTCTTTTACTCTGAGCAAGAGGCTCTTTAGATCCTTTTCACTTTCAGCCATTAGAGTGGTATCATCTGCATATCTGAGGTTGTTGATCTTTTCCCCAGCAATCTTAATTCCCGCTTGTGATTCATCCAGGCCAGCATTTCGCATGATGTACTCTGCATATATATTAAATAAGCAAGGTGACAGTATACATCCTTGTCGTACTCCTTTTCCTATGCTGAACCAATCAGTTGTTCCGTATCCGGTTCTAACTGTCGCTTCTTGGCCCTTATACAGGTTTCTCAAGAGACATGTGAGGTGGTCTGGTACTCCCATCTCTTTAAGGACCTGCCATAGTTTGTTGTGATCCACACAGTCAAAAGCTTTAGCATAGTCAATGAAGCAGAAGTAGATATTTTTCTGGTACTCTCTTGCTTTCTCCATAATCCAGCGAATGTTGGCAATTTGATCTCTAGTTCCTCTACCTCTTCGAAACCCAGCTTGTACTTCTGGTAGTTCTCTATCCACGTACTGTTGAAGCCTAGCTTGTAGGATCTTGAGCATGACCTTGCTAGCGTGTGATATGAGTGCAATTGTGCGATAGTTTGAACATTCCTTGGCATTGCCCTTCTTTGGGATTGGAATGTATACTGATCTTTTCCAATCCTGTGGCCACTGTTGCGTTTTCCAAATTTGCTGGCAAATGGAGTGCAGAACTTTAACAGCATCATCTTCTAAGACTTTGAATAGCTCAGCTGGAATACCATCACCTCCACTAGCTTTGTTGTTAGTAATGCTTTCTAAGGCCCATTTAACTTCACATTCCAGGATGTCTGGCTCAAGGTCAGTGATTATACCGTCGTGTTTGTCAAGGACATTGAGGTCTTTCTTGTATAGTTCTTCTGTGTATTCTTGCCATCTTTTCCTAATCTCTTCTGCTTCTGTTAGGTCCCTACCGTTTTTGTCCTTTATCATGGCCAGCTTTGCATGGAACGCTCCCTTGATTTCTCCAATTTTCTTGAAGAGATCTCTAGTCCTTCCCATTCTATTGTTTTCTTCTATTACTTTGCACTGTTCATTCAGGAAGGCCTCCTTATCTCTCCTTGCTGTTCTCTGGAAATCTGCGTTCAGTTGGGTAAATCTTTCCTTTTCGCCTTTGCCTTTCGCTTTCCTTCTTTCCTCTGCTATTTGTAAAGCCTCATCAGAAAGCCATTTTGCTTTCTTGCATTTCTTTTTCTTTGGTATGGTGGTGATTGCTGCCTCCTGTACGATGTCACGAACCTCTGTCCATAGTTCTTCAGGCACTCTATCTATCAAATCCAGACCCTTGAATCTATTCTTCACCTCTACTGTATATTCATCAGGGATGTGATCTAGGTCAAACCTGAATGGCCTCATGGTTTTCCCGATTTTCTTCAGTTTAAGTCTGAATTTTGCAATGAGTAGCTCATGATCTGAACCACAGTCAGCTCCAGGTCTTGTTTTTACTGACTGGATAGAGCTTCTCCATCTTTGACTGCAAATTATATAGTCAATCTGATTTCGGTGTTGCCCATCTGGTGATGTCCATGTGTAGAGTCGCCTCTTAGGTTGTTGGAAAAGGGTGTTCGCTATGACCAGTGTGTTCTCTTGACAAAACTCTGTTAACCTTTGCCCTGCTTCATTTTGCTTTCCAAGGCCAAACTTGTCTGTTATTCCGGTTACCTTTTGACTTCCTACTTTAGCATTCCAGTCCCCTATGATGATGAGGACATCATTTTTTGGTGTTAGTTCTAGGAGGTGTTGTAGGTCTTCATAGAACCGGTCCACTTCAGCCTCTTCTGCATCAGTGGTTGGGGCATAGACTTGGATTACTGTGATGTTGAATGGTTTGCCTTGGAATCGGACAGAAATCATTCTGTCATTTTTGAGATTGTATCCCAGTACTGCCTTTTGCACTCTCTTGTTGACTATAAAGGCCACACCATTTTTTCTACGAGATTCCTGGCCACAGTAGTAGATATAATGGTCTTCTGAGTTAAATTCGCCCATTCCTGTCCACTTTAGTTCACTGATTCCTAGGATATCGATGTTCAGTCTTGCCATCTCATTTTTGACCACGTCAAGCTTACCTTGATTCATAGATCTTACATTCCAGGTTCCTATGCAGTATTGTTCTTTGCAGCATCGGACTTTCCTTTCACCATCAGACACATCCACAACTGAGCGTCCTTTCGGCTTTGGCCCAGCCGCTTCACTCTTTCTGGGGTTACTTGTACTTGCCCTCTGCTCTTCCTCAGTAGCATATTGGACTCCTTCCGACCTGAGGGGCTCATCTTCCGGCATCATATCTTTTAGCCTTTTGATACTGTCCATGGGGTTTTCTTGGCAAAAATACTGGAGTGGGTTGCCATTTCCTTCTCCAGGGGGATCACTCTTGGTCTGAGTTCTCTGCTGTGGCCTGTCCGTCTTAGGTGGCCGTACACGGCATAGCCCACAGCTTTATCGAACCACTCAAGCCCCCTTGCCACGACAAGGCAGTGATCCATGAGGGGGCTTGTGCCTTTAGAAGTTGTTTTTTGTTGTGCTTTTTTGTTCGCCCATGCTCCTTTCAGTTTCCCCATATCTTGGGCTCAGTTTTGATGTATTCCAGCTGTGGGAAGTTGATTTTTAATTAATTTTTCAAGATAGTGGTGCGAAGGTTGCTATAGGAGCGACCGAACACTTTGCTGGTTACACCCCCCCCCCCCAAACATTTATTAGTTGCCTTTCTTCCTTGCGGAACTCAAGGTAGTTTATAGTATAAATAAAAGAAGTTATAAAAACACATAAAAGTCCATAATTTAAAATCTCTTATTAGGCCAATAAATAAAAAATGAAATTAGACAAATGCAGTCCTAAATAAAACTATTTTCAGTTGCCTCCTGAAGATTGAAAGTGCTGGGGCCAGGTGCACCTCCCTGGGGAAGAAGAAGAGAAGAAGAGATTGGATTTATACCCCGCCCTTCAGTACCCAAAGGTGTCTCAGAGCGGCTTACAAACTCCTTTCCCTTCCCCTCCCCACAACAGACACCCTGTGAGGTGGGTGGGGCTGAGAGAACTCTGACAGAAACTGCCCTTTTTCAAGGACAGCTGTGCCAGAGCTTGTGACTGACCCAAGGTCACATCAGCAGGTGTGAGTGAAGGAGTGGGGAATCAAACCTGGTTTTCCCAGATTAGAGTCCGCGCACTTAACCACTACACCAAACTGGGGAGGTTGTTCCACAGTTGTGGGGCTGCTACTGGTAAGGCCCTCTCTCTTGCGCCCACCAGACAAACCTCCGTGACTGGTGGGACAGTCAGGAGGGCCTCTCCTTGTGATCTGTTAGATCCAATAAAATCATTATAGAAGAGGGGCTATAGCTCAGTGGTTTTGCACATGATGTGCTTTTAGAAGGTCCAGGTTCAATCCTTGGTATTTCCAGTTGAAGCTGCTTTGGGTAGTGAGAATGGAAAAGTCTTCTGTGTGAGACCTCTGAAAGCCATACTCAGAGGAGACAATGTCTCTTTGGTCTGGCTTTGCATAAAACAGCTTCTACATTCAGATCAGAATAAAATCGTAACTGATAAAGCAGCAGAATGACAGCCTTGAGCCTATTGGTGTTTGCATGTGGCTCTGCCTGGCAAATAGCTTTTTTTAAACACCAACAAAAACCACTGTATTTTCTTCTTTTTTTAGATGAACATCACACGGAGGCTTTGGAGCAGGACCTTCAATTGTTCTGTCCCCTTCAGTGACACAGTGTCAGTGGCTGCTGTTTCTTCATTCATTCTCTTTTTACCTGTTATTTTCTACCTGAGTAGCTTTCTTCACTCAAAGCAGAAAAAGCGTATCCTGATTCTCCGTAAGTAGCATTTCCCAGAAATTTCTGCTTAGTGTTAAAATTGCTGATGGATGGTGCCCAAGAACTCTTCAGGAAAGCTGTACTGCTTGGGGATCTGGGCTGCAAATAGCGCAGCTAGATTTTTAAGTACTTCAGGTCAGAAGTGAAGAGGGTTGTATGACTCTGATCAGCAGCTGATTTAAAACAAAACCCAAAAAACCGACAAGCATATTTTTAGTTGAGCATGTTGAAGGTCTAGCAACATTGGTTCTCCCCACTAACTGCAAGGTAAGGTCTAGGTCAAGGGCTCTTTCGCCTCCTCTCTCAGGGTTTTACTAGAGCCTACTTTGAGTGGCTCAGTTGTACATGGCCATATCCCAGTATTCTGGCCTAGTGTGCAGTAAGGGAAAAAGTTTGCTAAAGCTTCTCTTGCTCTTTGCACTGCAGCAGAGGGGATTAAAGAGCTTTTTGCATTTGTCTTAGCTTGGAACAGAATGTCTGAGCTGTGTTCAGCAGTGGGTGGGAGGATGGGAAAGGTGTTTGAGACCTAAAGATATGCTGGGACCCAATGAAAAATCTTTAGCATGCTGCCCCTCCCTCTAGCATTTAATTGTATTGCTCTATAGAATCAGGGGCCACGGTAGCTCAGAGGTTAAGATGCTGAAGCTGCAGACCTGAAGGTCTAGCTTGGCAGTTTGAGACCCTAGTGCCGTGGGATGGAGTGAGCTCCTGTCTCTGGCCAGCTCCTGCCAACCTAGCAGTTTAAAAGCAAGAAATTGCAAGTAGATAAATAGGTACCACTTCAGTGGTACCATGGAGAAGTCTTCAGACAGCGCTGGCTCTTCGGCTTGGAAACAGAGATGAGCACTGCCCCCTAGATTTGACTAGCTTTCAAGCAAGGGAAACCTTTACCTTTATAGAATGATCACCCAGTGCATGTTGGCTCAGGACTCTGCCTATAGTCAAGAAATGGTACAGCAGGAAAAGCTGCATCATGTGATCCTGTTTCAAGTATAGACTGGCTTCAAGTTCATAGTCTGCCTTTTCTCTGATGTTTCTTGCATGCGGAAATAGTCCTGTTGCTGGAGCTGTTGTGGGGCTGCTATATGCCCAGACGACCAAAGCAAAAGCCTTGCTTTAGTGGGATTTAAAAGCAACAACTACTCTGTGTTTCTCTTTCTAGCTAAGCGGATCCAGTCAACCACCAGTCTTGTGAACATCCAAGAAAAATGCCACTGATCTTACAGAATGCAAACTGCAGCAGAGTGCATACTTGATAGTTCTGAAGAAGACGATTATGATTTAGCCCTGCACTCAGCATATTGTAACCCATTAAAATGCTTTATGACTCTCCGATGGTTACATGCACTAATAGGGCAAATGTTTTCCACTGGAGACACAATATGGCCTCCAAAGTGAAAGGAGTCTCCACCTAATCCATACATTTGTTTTTGTCTCACTTGGTTTCATATTGACTTGTTTTCTGTACACATTCCTAACCTTCACATGACTTCAGTTGAGTTGGTAAGTGTAGTTTTAATTTCCATGTGTGAGTTTTAAAAGTTCATAGTGTTCTGATTTGGTAATGTTCTTATTTGTTGACCTTTTTTTTCAGATACTGTCAGGAGTACTGCTTTAACTGCTAATAATTATCTGAAATGTTAGGTTATAAATCTTAGTTCGCTAACTAAACTAGACTGCTTAGTTCCTGCCTTATAACTGGCAATAATAAGAGAGCAGAACTACTGAATTAAGTAGAAGTTGTGGAATCTTGCCTTGGCAGGTTTTTTTTTTTGGGGGGGGGTTGGTCTGGTACTGCTGTGGGTTGGGACCCAATCCTCCAAGAGCTGTGCTTCAACAAGCTCCACTGACATGAGTCAGAGTTGTGTGAGAGGAATAAGTGAGGGGCCATGCTGACTGAGGAATTGTTACGTTATTCCCTTTCATTTTAACAGGGTTTATTTTTTCTCTCAAAGCTAAACTTTATGAAGTGGCTGTATAATTCATTATACAAAGTATAAATATATTTATAAAGACAGTATTTTGCTATTTTTTTATATATTGCTAGGGGGAAATTACAGGGTTTTTAAAAAATCACAGAAGATGCTGAATTGCTTGGACCAAAATTTGTTGGGCCTGAGATATAAATGAGTTTACATATATTTCATGGAAAGTTGTAATGCTTTGTTTTTGTTTTGACACACAGTTTTGAACATTTCTAAATAGAAATATTTTAGTAACAAACTGGGCACATAGATTTTTCTGTCATTTTAACAAGATATAAAAATATTCTTAAATCTGAGATCTTAGACTTTTAGTGTCTAAATCTGTGGAGGAACTTAGTGTTTTTCTAGATAGTGGTATGATTTTTCAAAAAGAATACTGGCTTGCATTTCCCCCCCAAACACACAAACAATAGAAAGTTCAATTTGGCCACTGCCCTGAGTGGTATATTATTTTTCTCCTTGAAGCATTCTCAGATGCCATTTCAACTGTTATTAAGTCAAAGGCTTTACTGTCAGTAAATCCTAATGTTAATTGAAAGATGTAAGAGAGACAGGGTGACTTTGCACACAGGCCTAATGCATAAGTTGTATCTATAATAGGTTGCAGGGGATGAGTCCTGGACTCCTGCAGGCCTGCTCATTGCATGTGCTGCAAGAGTGGATTTGTAGCACATATGTCCTGCCTGCATGAATCACGATCCAGGACAGGAGAATAGGGTGAGGCACATATAGAAATAAATGTTCATTCGAATGGTGTGTTCTGTGGGAGAGTGGGTAGGATTGGCATGCACAAACTTGGCATTGTGAAGCTGCACAACATGTAGAATGTACACTGGTGTGTGAAGTGGCACAGGTAAGTGATGAGGAAAATCTCACCTGATTTTGGTACAATTCCCATGTACACTTTACAATTGCAGTAATTGGGACTATAATGGCTGTCTTGCAGTTCTGAGTATTTGACAGCACTTTATCTGGTTGTGCTATTTTCCCCTGTAGAGTTAATTAGACAGGTGCAATCCTGTCTAGATCTGTGCATGTAGCTGTTGCATTGATTTCAGTGGGAATTCTTGTATGTAGAGTACTGCTGACTTTATTAGAGTTTATATGCACATTCACTTTGGATAGGTACATTGTATTTCCTGTTCTACAGTGCTGTGTTGCTTTGAGAAATGAGTTGAGGTATTCTGTGTTGTATGTACAAGCTTTACAGTTTGAGAGTAGCTTGGTGGGAGAGGGGCTCCCCAGTCCCAGGACATGCTTCTTTGTCTCAGGTTTCTGTCCAGCTTAGAGCTACAACCTCTGTGGCCAAAAGCACCTGTTAGGACAAGAAAGGGGTGTGAAACCGGGGGTTCTTTCTTGCCCCTTCTCTTCCTCCAGGGTGTTCTGGAGCGTATTAGGAAAAAGAAATCAGTCCTATACCAGAATGTGGACATTTTTATGTAGAAACAGGAAGACAGGAGAACATCCTATTCCAGTATAATAAGCTGTGCTGTTTTCCTTGTATCTCTGTATTTCCTGGCTGCTTTATCTGCTGTTTATTGCATCTATTAATCCCACCACTCTTGGCCTAGGTAGCATACTGAGCAATACACTTCCTGGGTTTTTCAGGCAAGATGGAATGTGAGCACTAGACCATCTATCTCTAGTTACAAACTGAAAGCACTATGTGGCGTGTTTAATATATTCAGTACTTTTGATGGTGCTTGGAAACGAGTGAAAAGTGAGAATACAGCTAGAAAACCATGGCTTTTCTAAAACTCTGAATATCCAGCTTGAGGACATATTGGAAGTATTTTCTCCTAGCTTCTCAAAGTGCAGTGTTTTGTTTCCACATTATCTTCGGGGGGGGGGGTTATTTATTTACTTCATTTGTACCTCACCTTTCTTCACAATGAGGACCCACAGCAGCTTACATCATTCTCTTCCATGTTACCTTCACATCAGCCCTTTGAGGTAGGTGAGGCTAAAAAGGCGTGACTGGCCCAAGGTCACCCAGAAAGCTACCTTGGTAGAGTGGGGATTCAAACCTGGGTCTTCCAGATCCTAGTCCAGCACTCTAACTGTTACACAATGCTGCTTCTTCATTTCTGTACCATTCAGATATTTGTAGAAAGTAAACTATTGCTCCTTGTTTATTGTTACAACAGTCTGAGAAGTAGAGCAGTACCTATGTCATATTCCCTTACATTGACTATGGGAGTACAAATCATGTTATGGTGAAAAGGAATTCTGACAGTTATTTCTGTCCTGGAGGACAGAAGTTGTTACACTCCATTCCAAATTTTTTACTGCAGTCTTTCTGGAATCCCAAGCAATCATTGGATATGCCCATAAACTACTCCTGGATCTTGTAGCTGTAATTTAATGCCAAACTGCTATTATTAAAATGAAACGTACAGTGATGGAAACATATTTGGCAATAAAATGCCAGTGTAAATGCATCCATCCATGCACCCTTCAGCACTTTGATGTGTTAGTTCTGTTGTTTGATGCTACATCAGTGTGGAATTTGAGTAATCCCAGGTGTTTGGTGTGGTCTCTTTTAAATGAATTGCCCATACTGATTTTGAGTGGTTCTTTTGGCCTACTAATGAAATCCACAAAACACTTAAGTTGACATAATAGCATTTATGGCAGGTTAAAATGTAAGTGTGTGGGTCTAAACTGTTTTTGGATTTGAGCCAGAACCAGACAGGATTTCAAGTTGCAGAACATCCCCTTCATGTAGATCAGGGTGGTAGAGTAACTTTTAGTTGTTCAATATTTTACTGTTAAGAGCAGCTGCCTATTACTATTTGTTTTTTACAAATGTCTGTTTTTTTGTACTGCTTGCATTCAGATTTTGAGAGCCAGTTTGGTGTAGTGGTTAAGTGCGCGGACTTTAATCTGGGAGAACTGGGTTTGATTCCCCACTCCTCCACTTGCACCTGGCTGGATGACCTTGGGCAAGCCTTAGTTCTGATAAGAGCTGTTCTTTTTTTTCTTTTTTTGGATAAAGATTTATTCCCTCTCCTAAAAAGGAGAGATATTTCTTTTAAGTTCAAGAAAAAAGGGTGGGTATATAGAGGGATAAAGAAATAGAGTGAGTGGTGTTAATGGTATTAGTTTAGTTAATCTGTTAGTATTCAGAGCACACAGTCCATAGTCTCTTTCGTCAGATCTTCTTCTTCTTCTTCTTCTTCTTCTTGACTTTAGCCAACTGCTGCACTTAATAGCATTACATTGATTTGAGGCACCATATGATGGAGAGCAGCTCAAAGCAATCTTTCATTCATACTGAGAGAGCTTGTGTGCGCTCCCAGAGCTACGGAATGACAGCTTTGCCTCTCATAAGCAGTGGCTTAGCATTCATGCTAAGTAGGTCTGAAAGTCATTACTCTTCGCCATGATTGTTAAGCACTTTTTTAAAAAGCTGTTTTTATTTTCTTGGCTGTGAAGCCAAATGCAAGTACTCATGTGATTTTGTTGTTGTTGTTTTTGTTTAAACTTAAAAGACATAACTTGTTCTTGAACTGTTAACAGGATTCTCCCCCCCCCAAATAATGGTACTTTCCCCATATGATTTAAATTGTGCATTCACATCTTTTAATTAGATTCCCCCTACCTCTACCTTCTAGTGTTTTTTTTAGTTTAGTCTCCCTGACACTGTCAGAAAATATGCAACAAACTAATATTACTTTTTAAATGGCAGATTTAGATAATAAAGATGATTTCTTTGAAAATACTTGGCTTCCTGTGTTTGGTGTACTGTACTTGTTTTTAAAGGGAGGCAGCTATACATGTTAAAGTAGCACAAATTAGTTGTGTACTGGAAAAACTTAGTATGAAATATCAATGTCATAGGATTACTTGATAACATTGCATGAAGGTATCTTTCAGTCTGGGTACACATATTGGACAATTACGTATATATTTATTTTAGTTACTGTGCAGGAAGAAAGATATAGAGTGACCATCACTTTATTAACTATTTACTGTTGATCTTGGTTGTATCGGTAACCTCCTGATTTCCAGGTATGAATTAATAGACTCCTTCCTACAAAGCTTCCTCAGACTGAGTTGGACTATCGGTCTATCAAGATCAGTATTATGTCACACAGGGGTCATTCCTATCAGCTACTTCATGATCCTTTTAATTGGCAATATGGGATGACTGAACCTGAGACTTTCTGTATTCAAAGGAGATGCTTTACCCTAAGCCATATTCCCACCTCTATAGATTCTGGTCTTTTGATTGGTATGGATGTGCAGGATGTGCCAGTTTCAGCTGTAAAATAAACATGGGGTGTGTGAAACAGACCTAGGATACAAACACATTTTCTCTGATGCTTACTGTATTTAAGATGACATAGATGAAACTGTGTCTGATCATTTTTGGCACCTCTGAATGTCAGATGAAAGCAGTAAAAAGTCATTATGCAAAATTCATTGAAATCCAGTTGTGTACCTTGTTGCTTTGTATGATTTGTGCTGCCTTTTTGGCTCAGTTTAGATATCACTTAAACTTCTGTTTCTTTG